AGACAAGCATCCCTGTGGACACTTCTAGGCACAGAGCAGGGAGTCATAAACAGAGTCAAAGACAAATACAGGTGCTGGTCATAAAATTAGAATATCATGAAAAAGTAGATTGATTTCAGTAATTCCATTTAAAAAGTGAAACTTGTATATTATATTCATACATTACATACAAACTCATATTTCAGATGTTTATTTTGTTTAATTTTGATGATTACAAATGACAACAAATGAAAATCTCAAATTCATCATATCAGAAAATTAGAATATTGTGAAAAGGTTCAAAATTGATGGCCCCTGGTGCCACACTCTAATCAGCTAATTAACTCAAACCACCTGCAAAAGCCTTTAAATGGTCTTTCAGTCTAGTTCTATAGGCTACACAATCATGGGGAAGACTGCTGACTTGACAGTTGTCCAAAAGACGACCATCGACACCTTGCACAAGGAGGGCAAGACACAAAAGGTCATCGCTAAAGAGGCTGGCTGTTCACAGAGCTCAGTGTCCAAGCACATTAATAGAGAGGCGAAGGGAAGGAAAAGATGTGGTCGAAAAAAGTGTACAAGCAAGAGAGATAACCGCACCCTGGAGAGGATTGTGAAACAAAACCCCTTCAAAAATGTGGGGGAGATTCACAAAGAGTGGACTGCAGCTGGAGTGAGTGCTTCAAGAACCACCACACACAGACGTATGAAAGACATGGGTTTCTGCTGTCGCATTCCTTGTGTCAAGCCACTCTTGAACCACAGACAGCGTCAGAAGCGTCTAAAGAGAAACAGGACTGGACTGCTGGTGAGTGGTCCAAAGTCATGTTCTCTGATGAAAGTAAATTTTGCATTTCCTTTGGAAATCAAGGTCCCAGAGTCTGGAGGAAAAGAAGAGAGGCACTTCATCCACGTTGCTTGAAGTCCAGTGTAAAGTTTCCACAGTCAGTGATGGTTTGGGGTGCCATGTCATCTGCTGGTGTTGGTCCATTGTGTTTTCTGAGGTCCAGGGTCAACGCAGCCACATACCAGGAAGTTTTAGAGCACTTCATGCTTCCTGCAGCTGACCAACTTTTTGGAGATGCAGATTTCATTTTCCAACAGGACTTGGCACCTGCACACAGTGCCAAAGCTACCAGTACCTGGTTGAAGGACCATGGTATCCCTGTTCTTAATTGGCCAGCAAACTCTCCTGACCTTAACCCCATAGAAAATCTATGGGGTATTGTGAAGAACAAGATGCAATACACCAGACCCAACAGTTCAGAAGAGCTAAAAGCCACTATTAGAGCAATCTGGGCTATCATAACACCTGAGCAGTGCCACAGACTGATCGACTCCATGCCACGCCGCATTGCTGCAGTAATACAGGCCAAAGGAGGCCCAACTAAATACTGAGTGCTGTACATGCTCATACTTTTCATGTTCATACTTTTCAGTTGGCCAACATTTCTATAAATCCTTTGTTTTTATTGGTCTTCAGTAATATTCTAATTTTCTGATATGATGAATTTGAGATTTTCATTTGTTGTCATTTGTAATCATCAAAATTAAACAAAATAAACATCTGAAATATATGAGTTTGTATGTAATGTATGAATATAATATACAAGTTTCACTTTTTAAATGGAATTACTGAAATCAATCTACTTTTTCATGATATTCTAATTTTATGACCAGCACCTGTAAACCACACAGCATGTCAGGGTCTCTGCTGATTTGCATGGAGAATCCGCATTGGATGTAAATTTATACGAGATCGTGAGGATGAAGCCACCCAGATTTTCCTGTCGGTAATCATCTGAGGCGATGTTTTTAAGTTTGGAAATCACAAACTCCAATGGAAATAAATACATGAAATCAGAATCATCAAACTCCTCAAACTGCTAATTAATTACTCCAAATTAAGGTGATTATTTTTTTAATTTTGTTAAAACGTAATTCTCTTGACATTCAGGTTAGATGTGTCAAAGTGCGTGGGAATAACTAGCACATTATCTGCTGATAAGGCCAAATATATTAAGCTGTCATAAAACAGAGCATTACACAATTCCTCTGGAATAATTATGGTTTGCTGTGTAAATCTCTACCCCACTTTAAACTCATCAGTTACGCAAAATCCTTGATCCTTGAACTAATCTTGCCATTCTGTCAAAGTCAAACATTGTTATCTAATTCAGGCCTGGACAGTGTGTTAAATTATGGGAAGTAAGGGGGGTTAAATGTAATTGGGCAAATATTTTGGCCATGGCTATGTCTATGCACGGCACTTAGAAAAGTACAGACGTCGTCTCCCTTTTATTAAAGTACTTTGAGGTGCTGATATTTTGCGTTCTGTGTAAATGTCAGGACACCAACATGCATCTTCAGCCTGCGCACAGACTTACAGGATGTACAGGGAGTAAGTTAGTGTAAATATTTTGTAGATAAACAAATATTAACGGCATGTGTACTTTGCAGCAATAGGTTATCTCAACGCAATGGTTGGAGGCAGACAAATAGTCCCAACCTTTACCTCGAACCGCTGCTGATGTAAATACCAGATAAACGCCTTGTTTGCTTTTCCTTTCTATGAGCTGATATTTCTGCTACCGCAAAAATTCAGAGTTTTAATCCTTTCAGTTTAATTTTATTTTTTAACTAGATGTCTTGATGATTAAGAAAAGCCGGTTTGATGGCTTCCTGAACAGGGCACCCTCTGTTGCTGCACAGTCTGTTTAATATGTACCCGGCCCTTCCTTTTTTCATGCACGATACGCTGCATGATCATTTGATTATGCACAGCGAAATACTCTAAAACAGGCATCCCCAACCTCGGTCCTCGAGGCCCGCTGTCCTGCAGGTTTTAGAGGTTTCCCTGCTCCAGCACAGCTGATTTTAATTGAATGCGAGTGACTATGAAGGTGCAGTGGTTGTTAGCGATCTGGCAGAATCAGCACAAAACATCCGCCTCTCAGGTTTAAGAGTGGTCAGGAAAAGGGACACAAGCTTTGTTTCCATTAACCATCAAATGGCCCCAATTGTAATAACAAAAATGTATTTGCTAAGTCGATTTGCAGTCACACCGAATTTATTAGATTTCGTACAGCTGCAACTGAAACAAGTTTTCCAGAGTATTGTGATCTAGACGTGCTCAAGATGGTGAAGGATGATGGCGAGGCATATTTGGATTTATAAGGACTTTTTTTTACATTAAGTCCACGACGATGAGCACTGGAGCTACAGCTGTTTACATCCAGCCCTGCAGTGTGGTTTTCAAGAGTTCTCACATGGACAAACATATTCTTTTTTTTTTTTTTCTTATTTAATGGAAGACTGGAATACAAAAAAAATGCATTTTACAAATTAGCAACATCATTAACTCAAGTAATAATTCACTGCAACTGAGGGATGCAGGATATCAGTGCTGAACCCTCAACACCTTTAACAATGAAATAGCCAATCCTGTTGGTTTCAAGGCTTCTATCCACACTCTCTCATTAAAGTTAGACACATTTTAATGACAACAGAGGTTTGTGTGACACAGCAGCCCATCTGAGATTTAATCCAGACGGTAATAATGTTGTAAAAAGCAGGATGTGAAGTGATATCACAGCACACGGCCTCCAGATCTAAATGTAACTTTGGGAAGTAGTGGAAGTGGAGATTTTCTAAATAAAAGTGCATCTAATTTTCAGCAAGCGTGTGATTTCTATCCAGTCTTTGAAATCAAAATTAAACCATTCAGTCCTTTCTGGTACTGATAACTAGAGATGTCCCGATCCAGGTTGTTGCACTTCCGATCCGATACCGATATTGTTTTTGGACTTCCGATCCGATACCGATACTGGCCGATACCAGCCTATCCGAGCATGTATTTAAGTTTAAGTTAAAGTGTTTAGCCTTAGTTGTAAGACTCATGTTGAAAAGGGTTTTAGTACTCTTGATAACATCTAGCCAGCTAAATTAGGTGAGATTGAATAAAACACAATGCTTGGTAACAACAAACTTACCTGTTTAAAAGAGATAAACACAAACTGGACAAAATTACGAATAGCAATCTGAAATTGCACAGTGAACAGTAAAACTGTAAACAGTTAAAGGTGCAAGTATTACTGTAAGTTTTAATAAAAATGCAAAACAGGGGAACACTGGCGCAAAATAGTGAAATGGATCGTTTCAATCGGCGAAACTGGAAAATACGGACCGGATTTTTTTTTTAAAACTGGATCGGCATTTTACATGCTTTGCCGATACGCATTTTTTTGCCAATATCGGCGTCCCAATCCGATACGTGGATCGGATCGAGACAAGCCTACTGATAACAGCTGCAAATGGAAGTTGGACCTATAGGAACTACTTCCATCAATACTAGAAATATCTAATTATTTGAAGATTTGTCATATCACATATCACAATCATTAACATCAACTAAAACACTGACATTTGAATGGTAATATAGCTTAGCTGTGTTATGATCTGCTACATATATATATTCTGGGGGTCTCAGGGGAGGGTACTGCAAAGGCAACAAGATCAATCAACTTAAAACGTCCCTTTAAAGCATTCATTGCACTATATAAAACATAAACTGTAAAGAGACCTGTTAGCTGCTGTATCTATCATATCATAGGCCATTGTACAGGTGTTTAAAGAGCTAGGGAGCTAGCAGGAATCCAAGGTGACTTTAGCAAACAGAGCAGCTATGTCCGATACTGGTTAACCTATTAAAACAATGCTGCATTCAAGAAATATCTGCAAATCTGGAGGAAATGTGCCCGTACCTCTAGTGCTTAGCTTGATGCTAGCTCTGAGAAACACCTGACTGTGTAGCAGCACTCCTGCGTTCACCTTGTTAAACTGAGCGGGAGAAACTATCCTCCCACGCGTGAAGTCGGAAGCTGCCTTCCACCCCCTTGCTAATTAAACAAGGTGCCGTGAACGCAGCGTGACTCCAAAGTGAGGAAAGGATGCGCTGTTTTAAGCTAACGGTTTTACCCGCGCGGACAGGTGGATTCAGGCTCCCGGTGCTCACCTACCTGGCATCTGCACACCATGTCGGCATCTTGTGCCAGCAGATCCACAACTTTCCCTTTCCCCTCGTCGCCCCACTGAGCCCCGAGAACAACCGTCACCCTGTTGCCGACGGGCGGTCTCGGTGGTGTCTGTTTCGTCGGCCCGTCGCTGCTGTCTGAGGCCCCGGCGGCTTCCTGGCTCCCACTCTCAGACATTTTTGCTGGGTTCTCCCCCGGCTGAATGGTTGAGTTCCGGGCTGAGCAGCTGCCTACTGACCGCTGCTTCAAAGATAGCAAATAGAAGTGCGAGCTATCACTCCGCAGCGACGTTTAGAAGCTGGGAATATTGCACTGCTCAAGCGCGACCGCTCTAGTTGTAATTATAAAATACTGAAAGAAAAACAAAATAATATGCATATATAACAGTATTCATGTTTTTCCTTTTAAATAAAACAAGAACATTGGCTTAAAAATGTAGCAATCCTGCTCCCAGTGACTCATCTGTAGCTCTTCTACAATCTCAGGCGACACTCCCATTGGTGGAGGTGTGTTCATCATGCCACTGGAAGAGTAAACTAACGGAACTCCACAAAGACATTTCTAACCCATAACTACTTCAGTTTTAATTTTTTTTTAAATATATATATATATATATATATATATATATATATATATATATATATATATATATATATATATATATATATATATATATATATATATATATATATATATATATATATATATATATATATACATTGTGTATTTAGTCTTGTAATTATTATAATTGGTATAAAATGTGAAGGTACTTGATAGCTGCATAAATATACAATTTTATGTTGGTATATCATCTAAATGAAAAAAGCAAGGCAGCAGAATTATTTTTATTTTATTTATTTATTTTTTTTACCTTAGACATATTTAGAAAATCTATTCATATAAAAGGCTGAGTAATAAGAGGGCTTTTTGAAACCCCAAATTAACCTTATTAGTCTTCATATACCTCCAAAAGGAAAGGGGGAGTAGATGGATCTAGTGCAGTCTCTATTTTTATCTCAAAAACTCTTGTAAATTGTCTTAAGATAAATAAATTGATAGTTTTAAGGTTTGTGCTCAAGTTTGTTATTTGTTGAACAATTTGCCTCCCTCTAGTGGTACTAAAAGGTAATTGGACACAGAAAAATCTATTTTGTAGCATATTTTGATGTATGGATATTTGATATCTATTTAAGCCATACTTAAATACGGAATTTAAAAAAGATTAGCAATAAAGAGGAAAGAAAAAGCCCTTTTAATCTTTAAGATAAAATACACATGATTGGAAAATCGCTATAGGGTGATTTGAAAGAATGTTTTGCTTCATATAAGACTATTTATTTAGGCGGCGAACACCATGGTGGGATCTAAAGAGGAGTAAAAGACATTTAGGAAGTAGTTGCTCATGTTCATTATTCTGCCATCAGAGCAACTTCATATTAGAAGAAGACAAAAATAAATAAATAAAATGAAGGTGTCATCACAGGGCCTACAGCAGGCTGTTTCTATGGATGCAGCTGCAAAGGGCTAACTGTTGTGGGAACCTTGTTTATTTTACTAAAACAAGCATTAAAAATTGATAAAGACAAGCACCAATAATTCTGGACTATTTTTCTTTGGACAGGTGAGTCTAATATTAAAATATTTAGACATCAGAGTGGAGGTCTTGTTTACTTAAAAAAAATACAATGGCCAGATTAAGACCTGTGGAGCATTAAAGGCAGACTTGATTGTGTAACCCAGCTAGCTCATGAAAACTTCAAAACCAAAATGGCACTTAAAAGCTTCATGGGCATAAACATACTTAACTTTGTCCTTTAGCTCTCTGCATTTCATGTTATCATAATAAATAATTTCATGATTTGGGGATGTTTTGCTACAACATGAACAGATTTTCACCCACTGGTTGCTTATAGATTCTGCCATGTTTCAGAGGAAACTGTAAGAACATCTGTTAGAAATACAAACTGAACAGGTCACGACCCTGCAGCATAAGAGCGACTCAAAATAGATCAGTAAAATGCCAAAAACTGGTGGAGAATTTGTGTTTCTGCAAAACACTAACTGCTTCTGCTGCAGATGGAAATCAGCAGCATGCTGTACCGATCACATCACGCCTATGCTCTCATCTCCTCTTAGCCCAGCGTGGGACAGATGGTCTGTTGGGGAGACGAGAGGAAGCGGTGAGCACTGGGTCACGACTCAGCTCTGCAGCAGGGTGAAGTCACATTTCCACAGTGACCTTAGTGTTTCTGTCAGAACATGCGGATGCCAGAGTTTCTGTGCTGTTTGTCCCCACCAAATGTCTTGCATCAAAGGAAACCAGAATAATAAATAATTAAAACATATCTGCTTATATCTAGTCAATTACTAAATCTTTATCTTATCTGGCAGACTGGCATAAAGGTGCAAAGGTTTTTAAATGTTTATAAAAATGCTGTACACTCAAAACATCTGAAATGAGTGGCATTCATTTGGATTTCCCTTTAACTCTGACAGACTTCACCAAATTAAAAGGTAACCACCTGCTTTTAACAGTCACCTAAATAGTATGAGGTTCCATTTGTGTCAAAAATAAGCAGATGTAAAATGTCTAGATGTTGTGCTGTTGTTGCATATGTTTTGTCTGCATATGTATAAGTTGCACATCTATTTGTTGCATATGTAGATGTTGCCTCATCGTAATCTTGCCAGTCTGCATGCTTATTTTTGATACAAGTGGAACCTCATAGTTCCCACCACCCAGTAAATTGTGCAGTGTTAAAGTAACACTTTAAGGGTGCATTTGGTCCCACTTGGAATTGGTGTTAAATTAGAACATTACGCCATGTATATTTTACTCCAGTTGTTGTTGTAATAAATCTTAAAGAGTCCATGTACTTAGACACTGCATATTTAACACTGTGGGATTTACTGTGCAGTGTGTAGAAAGCCTCATGAGGATCTATGGATAACAGTGGACAGATTTGGGATAAAGCTGTGGGGACTTTTGAATGGCCTTACAAACACTACAACCAAAGCTAATGGCATATGTAAGTGTTACAACAGCTAAGTCAAAGTCAAGATCTAAATCCATTTAAATGTTGCTCTTCACATCCATTATTTTAATCTGATCTAGATGAACAAGACTGGTAGAGCCATACCAAAATACTATCTCACACTTATATTTATTTAATCTATCTAATATTCTGTATATGTAATAATCTATCTATCTATCTATCTATCTATCTATCTATCTATCTATCTATCTATCTATCTATCTATCTATCTATCTATCTATCTATCTATCTATCTATCTATCTATCTATCTATCTACACTATATTGCCAAAAGTATTTGCTCACCCATCCAAATTATTGGAATCAGGTGTTCCAATCACTTCCATGGCCACAGGTGTATAAATTCAAGCACCTAGGCATGCAGACTGTTTTTACAAACATTTGTGAAAGAATGGGTCGCTCTCAGGAGCTCAGTGAATTCCAGCGTGGAACTGTGATAGGATGCCACCTGTGCAACAAATCCAGTCGTGAAATTTCCTCGCTCCTAAATATTCCACAGTCAACTGTCAGCTGTATTATAAGAAAATGGAAGTGTTTGGGAACGACAGCAACTCAGCCACGAAGTGGTAGGCCACGTAAACTGACGGAGCGGGGTCAGCGGATGCTGACGCGCATAGTGCGAAGAGGTCGCCAACTTTCTGCAGAGTCAATCACTACAGACCTCCAAACTTCATGTAGCCTTCAGATTAGCTCAAGAACAGTGCGCAGAGAGCTTCATGGAATGGGTTTCCATGGTCGAGCAGCTGCATCCAAGCCATACATCACCAAGTGCAATGCAAAGCGTCGGATGCGGTGGTGTAAAGCACGCCGCCACTGGACTCTAGAGCAGTGGAGACGCGTTCTCTGGAGTGACGAATCGCGCTTCTCCATCTGGCAATCTGATGGACGGGTCTGGGTTTGGCGGTTGCCAGGAGAACGGTACTTGTCTGACTGCATTGTGCCAAGTGTAAAGTTTGGTGGAGGGGGGATTATGGTGTGGGGTTGTTTTTCAGGAGCTGGGCTTGGCCCCTTAGTTCCAAGGAAAGGAACTCTGAATGCTTCAGCATACCAAGACATTTTGGACAATTCCATGCTCCCAACTTTGTGGGAACAGTTTGGAGCTGGCCCCTTCCTCTTCCAACATGACTGTGCACCAGTGCACAAAGCAAGGTCCATAAAGACATGGATGACAGAGTCTGGTGTGGATGAACTTGACTGGCCTGCACAGAGTCCTGACCTCAACCCGATAGAACACCTTTGGGATGAATTAGAGCGGAGACTGAGAGCCAGGCCTTCTCGTCCAACATCAGTGTGCGACCTCACAAATGCGCTTCTGGAAGAATGGTCAAAAATTCCCATAAACACACTCCTAAACCTTGTGGACAGCCTTCCCAGAAGAGTTGAAGCTGTTCTAGCTGCAAAGGGTGGACCGACGTCATATTGAACCCTATGGATTAGGAACGGGATGTCACTTAAGCTCATATGTGAGTCAAGGCAGGTGAGCAAATACTTTTGGCAATATAGTGTATCTATCTATCTATCTATCTATCTATCTATCTATCTATCTATCTATCTATCTATCTATCTATCTATCTATCTATCTATCTATCTATCTATCTATCTATCTATCTATCTATCTATCTATCTATCTATCTATCTATCTATCTATCTATCTATCTATCTATCTATCTATCTATCTATCTATCTATCTATCTATCTATCTATCTATCTATCTATCTATCATGTCTGAGGGCTAGAGAGGTAATGGTGTCATTTTGATTTTGTCCAGCAGAGGGCGATAATGACACGTTCTTGATGCGAACCCCCCGAGGTAAATTTTCAAAGAAGAAAAGCCCCCCTCTCTGGCAGCCTTGTTATTAACCTCCACTCGGGGTCATCCAGGCTGTTTGGTGTGGTGAAAATGTCTCCGCTGCTGCTCAGGGCCTTCGTGAACGAGCGGCTCACCGCTGTGGTCGCAGAAATCTTGGAGGTTTTCGAAGGAGCCATCGCTAAATACGAAGAAGAAGCGTCCAGCTCCAAGCAGGAGATCGATCGGCTGCGCAGTTTGCTGCTGGAGAAGCAGAAGAAGACAGGTGTGTTCCTAGCTGCTCATCTACAGGAGCTAAGGAACACAAGCAGCCTGGTTAGCCCACATTCCCTGGATCCATTCTACCAGAAACCAGCAGCGATGTTTACTTTGGAAGTACTTTGTTTCAGTCCTCAATTCGAATAGAATAGAATAGCATAGAAAAGAAAAGAAAATCCCTTTATTGTCCCATAATGGGGAAATACATTCTGTTGTTTACAGCAGCAAAAAGATGATAGAAAAAATGTTAACACAAATATGGACCTTAGAGAAATGTGTAAGAATAACATAATAGTGAAGAGTTAAAAGATAAACAATAAAATACTGTAAACTGTTTTAACAATGTAAAAACTGTACACCTGGAGAGTAAATAACCAATATAAAGCTATGGACATTCTTAGAGTAATGGATAGTTGAAAATAGTAGATACAATAAATATGTGCAAAATGACAGCAGCATGTTATTTAACTGGTTAAGGTAGAAACTGTGCAAAGTCAACAAGAATGTAACAACTTATTGAGGTTGTTGGGAACAGTGGTGGTTATAGAGTCTTACAGCTCCTGGGAGGAAGGATCTGTGTTAACGCTCCCTGGTGCATTTAGGGTGCAGCAGTCTGTCACTGAAGGAGCTCTCCAGTTCTGCAACAGCTTCATGCATGGGGTGGGAGACATTATCCAACAGAGTCCAGAGGGCATCCAAGCATTGTATATATATATATATATATATATATATATATATAGATATATAAAAAACTTCCTCACCTATCGTGGGTGGTCTTCTCCCCTTTTTCCGTCAAGCTCGGGTCCTCTACCACAGGCGTCCTTAACCTCTGTTCTCGAGGCTCACTGTCCTGCAGGTTTTAGAGGTTTCCCTGCTTTAGCACAGCTGATTATAATGATTGTAGTAGACCAAAAGCCTGTTAAAGACCGCGGGCCTCTAGGACCGAGGTTGGGGTTGCCTGCTCTACCAGAAGCCTGGGAGCTTTAGGGTTCTGCTCAGTATCTTTGCTGTTCCTAGAACTGCATTCTGCTGGACCAAGATGTCTGATGTATTTGCAGAAGTCTGCTGTAACCACTCCTCCAGTTTGGGGGTCACTGCCCCGAGGGCCCCAATGACCACGAGTAAAACTGATGCCTTGACCTGATGTTGCAGTAACTTGGTATTGCTATGGCAACCACAACAGCTTTCCTCTGCTTTTTGTCCACCAACACAATTTCCAGTTGGTTTGCCATTACCATTCGGTCCGTCTGTATCTGGAAGTCCCACAGGATCTTGGCTTGATCATTCTCTACCATCTTTGGAGGAGTTTCCCACTTTGACCTTGGGGTTTCCAGCCCATACTCTGCACAGATGTTTCTGTACACTATTCCAGCCACTTGGTTATGGCGCTCCATCTAAGCTTTCCCTGCCAGCATCTTGCACCCTTCAGTTAGTTATATGCTGGATTTTCTCAGGGCCTCTTTGCACAGTCTGCACCTGGGGTCTTGTCTGGTGTGGTAGATCACGTTTATTTTACTCTATAATGGTATCAGGCCTGTTTTTTTGTTTATTTATTCTTTTTTTAGCTCATCAAAAATTAATAACAGAACAGAGCGGGAAACAACAACTGTTTACATACAAACCGGGATTTGCTGAGGACATGGATCGGTAACATCTGAGCAAATAAACTAGAAATGTCATAAATTGTTATGATTGAGACAGTCCACTGGCTTCTATTACTGTTCTGTCTTTGTCTGGACTCTAATTCATGGAGTTCAGGTGAAACTCTCCTATTATGTGCCTTACATCAGCATTATTACACTTAATCCTTTTTATATGGAAGAGAGGCAAAGATTCCTACAAGGCCTTAAGAAGAAGAACCGTTTTCATTTTGCTTTAAGCCATAACAGAAAGGTGGAGGAAGAGGCTCTGGCTAGATGAGGATAAAGTGTGACTCTTTAGCCTTTGCTTTAGCAGTAACACACAAACTTAGTAACTGTGCTGTTTAGTTTCCTATTAAAGAATCAATACACTGAAATGATGAAATGTGGAGAACACAAAGGGGTGTGAATATTTTTGGAAGGTGCTTTATGTTACCAAGAAATCATCAACAGATATAAACAAACTGTTCATTAATTTTTCTCTATTTTCTTCTATAATAACATGATTATGTGGACTTGAACATAAATAAATAAATCACCTTTTCTTCTTTCAGACTCACCTCAGCCGTCTACCTGTGGAGACAAATCTCCATGTGAGCAGGAGTCGAGGCTCCATCAGGAAACGGGCTGGAATCCAGAGCTGCAGCACATCAAGGAGGAAGCTCACGAGCTCTGGGCTGTCGATCAGGAGGAGCACAAACAGGCAGGGATAGATTCGGATGCTTTAAATCACCTTCATGTGTCTGTCGAGGAAGAGCGAGAGCAGGAAGATACAAAGCCGCCTGGGCAACATTGGACTCAAAGCTCCGAACCAGATGGGTTTCAGGATGTCCAGGAACTTAAAGCCACAGAGGTCAAAACAACTTTTCTCTCAGCCCCATCATTCCAAGATGAAGCTGCTGCCATTTTCTCCACGGAGCAAACGCAGCTGGGTCAATCTAGTTTTACCTTTTCTAAAGAATCCACAGATTCGTCCCGCTTGAACTCTCCTGGAGCCGACTACCAGTGCTCTCTGTGTTCAGAGTCCTTTCCTTCCAGTCACCTCCTGATGAGCCACGCTTTCCAAACTCACTCCAGGGACGTCGGAGTCTTGTGCACCGTTTGCGGAGGAACCTTCGAGTCCGCAGAGAGTCTCGACGTGCACCTAAGATCTCACGAGAAGTCAAAGTGCTGCCCCATATGTGGAAAGCTCTTCAAAAGTACAACCTCCCTGAGGGAGCACATGGAGGCCCACGCGGGACTGAAGCTGCACCGCTGCCACGTCTGCGGCAAAGAGTGCAGACGCAAGGGGGATCTGAGGATCCATTTGAGGATCCACACGGGCGAGAAACCCTTCTGCTGCTCGCTGTGCTGTAAGAGTTTCACCCACAGCGGGCATCTAAAGAAGCACATTAGAAGCCACACCGGAGAGAGACCGCACAGATGCGGCGTCTGTGGGAGGAGCTTCCTGCAGAGCGCACACCTGAAATCCCACTTGAGTACCCATGCTCAGAAAAAGTGACCAGCTCATATTTTATTCATTTCACTTTAAAAAAAAAAATCAGACATGATGTTTATATCTTATGCTGCTGTGTTTCTACAGAAAGTTGCTAAAAGATGTATTTTTATTTACAGTTTGTTGGTTTTGAAAAAAAATCCTCAAAAAACTCATCGGATCAAAAAACATTTCAGTTTCACAATTTAATAGAGAACAAAAGAATAGTTGGTTACATAATCACCTCCGGCCATTAATGGAATGGAAAGTACTGAGAGATAAACAATAAATAACTTATTTTATTATATTATTATTTAAACAAATAATGGAGGTAATGGAAGAAAGGGTTAGATGTAGAGTTGTTCTTATTCTGATACCAGTATGGGAAATGTTTCTGCAATCCGTATTGGGGTCCAGAAACCAATCCATTTCCATGTTATTTAAAATAGGAAATAAAATAGAAATCTTTTTTTTTTTTGGTTCAGTTCTGACACAGTTCTTCTTCTCTGCTCTTAATACCTTCAGACAGGTGAAGAGCCGATCACCTGTCAGAGATGGAGCTTGCTGCTACTTCTGCTGCTGCTGTGTTCTTTTTTTTTTATACTCTTGTAATTTAAAAATAAATGGAATCCGAACATCTCTAGTTAGATGCACTAAAAATATTAATACAAAAAAAGTTTTCCAAACAGAAGGTTAGCAAACCCGATATAATGCCAGATTATCAAAAAACCAAATACTGGTAGAGATCACGAGAAAACAGGGAGCGCGATAATCAGTGTCCTCATAAAGTAAGAGACGAGTCTCTCTCTGATACAAACATGTTTCTATAATTTTTTTTCTTTTTACTCTTCCAGTCAAACTAACCCTATTAAATTAAAGATAACCTGAGGAAAATCAAACTGTTTCCTTAAAGGGGAGGTGACTGCAGAAATCAAAGTGGCCCAACGTTAAAATGTGATTCTATTCTCTTCTAAACTGATGCGTTGATGTTTTGCTCCACTCTTCTAGGCAGAACTGTAATAATTCTGAGCCTTCGGTTTCAGCATCAACATGTTTCAGGTCATGCAAGTAGTTATTTCATGCTATTTTTAATGAGTGAAATAAATAAATCTATTATTTAATGAATTTAATTTGTCATTTTAAATGTATTTTTTTATTATTATTTAAGGGGGGAATTTAAATGTTTTTATACACTTAACATTCGAAATCATCCTATAAATAAATATTACATCTAATTATTTCATATTTAGTTTAGCCCTGCTTTTTTTTTTGTCTGGCTCCAAACTTCCAGTCGGTACACTCCCCTTTTTCTACTGAGCAGATTTTCTGGTTCTAACAGTTACAGCAAACAAACTGGATTGTGAAGAAGAGAAGAAAAAAAGTGGGTTTTTTTTATTTAACATTACTGGAAGTAATTAAGGCTGGGTGTGGCTTGTGAAATCAGTTCTTGCTTTCCAAACAATGTGATTATTCACAGTACGTTGGATGTAACTTGATGCATGACTGCCTTGTTACGTAGGACCAAACTGGATCCCTTGGTTTGCCCCTGAAAAATTAAATCATTTCTTTGAAAAAAAATAAAGTTTGTTTGATCTGAGACAATTCAAGCGGAAACGCTACAGATCTTTAATATTAACACTTTCCTACAGCCCTGTACTTGGTACCTTCCACTGTGTTCTGCTTTCCATGTAAACAACTTTTTGTTGTGTTACTGCTAAAGTTGAACAGGAAGCAGTTTTATTTTATGTAGCAACTTTTAACATTCAGCAGTTTGACTAAATCAGGGGGGTTATCTATTCTGTGTTCCCTTTTTATTGTTTCCTGTGTTTTGTTACAGGTTTGCAGAACAATAAACTGCAATTATTACCAGAGCTATTTTTTTTTGTGTTTTCAACTAAACAGAACTGCAGCAGATGACGCCTGCTACAGTTTAAGCTTTTCATATTCTGAAAATAAAGTTAAATATTCTGAAGGATTTAAAAAGCAAAATGTTTTCACTGATATATTTTATTTTGATCTTATTTTTAAGCAACTTTCAGGGCATCACAGGTGTGTATAGCTTTTAGATGCACATTTAAAAGGCCATTGATCCTTCAGTTCACCGTGCAAGATTCATACATCAAGAATTTAATTATTACTATTTTTACCTTGCTTTATTTCTAATATTAAAGAAATATGTCAGCTTCCTGTAGAAATGCCCCTGATAATAGCCTGCTTTTCCATAGGATTGAGGTTTAGAGACTTAGATGACTATGGGGGGTTTAAGTAATTTTTTTGTCCTTTGAGTCATAATTCTAGGGCAGGGCTGCATAATATGGAGCAAATTTATTCCATAAGTGCTGCAGTATGATTTGCAATAATATATGTAGCATGCATGTATATTCTCTATTTGAAAACCAAACTCAAAGCGGAAAGTTTTTATTTTTAGTAGGATATTCATTTATCTCATGATGTGTTGCTCTAGTTAGGGATCAACATCCTGATAAAAGACTAACTCAGGATCGCTCTGTATCATCTATCCTCCACTGTGCTTTTTCATCACATATAAATTTTAATGCGGAAAGTTCAGTTTTGTTCTTATTTAATCAAATCATACATTAAGCCCCATACATTAAAAAAATAAATCTGAGACCTTTAGATGGTGTCTAATAGCCGCCAGGGAGTTTTGACCCTATCTGAGCAGCTGAGTTGTTTATTAAAATAAATGTTTGCTTTTATTTTTGACTAAATAGCTGGGCTAAAAATAATTGTTCATGTTTTTTCGTTATCATTAAAAAATATTCTTTATAATTATTATTATTTTTTTTTTTTGACTAAGTTTGCTTAAGTTAAAGACTGGTTATATAAAAGATTTTAAATGTGGGATTATGCTCCAGTGTTCCAGTTAAAGATTCATTTAAAGGGTTGCTTTTAAACCAATCTTCAGTAGGTATAGACATAAAAATCACTTAAATTGTCTAAGTTTTTATATTTAACTCAATTTATCTCCTCATGGACACCTTCACCTTTTGGGTACTTAATAACTACATAAACAGATTTTGATTTTCATTACAGGCTAGGGTTTTATGGAGTACTTTTTATTTATTTTTGTCTAAAATTGAAAAAATAAAATCCTTAAAAACTTTCCCTTAAAAACTTTGCTTTTATCAGTGAATTTCCCGGCAAACACATACATTTGAATACAAATATTTAGAAGGTTGAACTTTTTTCAGATACTTTTATCTGTATTTATTCATATAAAATAATGAATGCCAAATTTCTAAATTATTGAAAAAAAAAGTTTGATTGGTACCATTTTACATGAAAGAGGTAGTAGCATATAAAACCTTAAATGCCTTTAAAATATATATATATTTAAAAGTAAAAATACTTTTTCGAAAAGCTAAAAAAGATGTACGCCACCACTAGAGGGCGTTGTTGGGACCTTTAAGTTTTTAGCAGATTTTACTGAATAACTTTTCTCTTTCTAGTGTTGTTGACTTTATCTATAGTTTCAAGCTGCTCAAATGTTTTATAACTAAAACTCCAAATAAAATATTTGAAAACTCATCAAATTGTCCAGATTTTAAGAAGTTTATCTCTGCTGCTAATATAAATGATCGGGTTTGTGACTACAGCTTAATAGTAATCAGCTTTTGGAAGACCTGCTCATGACTTTGGTCATGGAAACAGCTTTGGCTGATTCCATGTCGTCTGAGAATCCCAGCCTGTTGAATTAGGAACTTATGTTTTTGGCAAACTGCTTTGGACCGCTCAGATTTTTAGAAAGGATAGCTTAAGAGCTGGCTGGCCCACTATGACCCTCAGGCCTAAAACTAAACACCCCTAATCTGGTTACACAAGCTCCCCCTCAGACACAAAAGCACCAGGAATTGACCCATAAATCTTTTTTCATTTTCGCACATGGTGGAGGTTCTAATCAGCTCATTTGTTTACATCTAATTCTATCATTTTGATTGTGTAAATGTGAGCAGACTTCTACATTTCTTCAAAATAAAAAATAAAAACAGGTTAGGAGGTTAATCTGCTGTGATTTGAAGTATTTGAAACTCACTGAAGGGATTTTCTTTATGTGGGTCAGGCTGTGTGTCATAGTTAAACACATCAAGAGGAAAAAAAAGATTTGGGTTGGCAGATTTTCTTTATGCATCTGTGTGCGTGGGGGGTGGTGTGAAAATTAACATTTTGCAGCCCACAGAGAATATGGCTGGAACTGTCCGACTTCAGGAATTCCAAAACCCCTCCGGTTGTATAACAGGGTCAGTGAGGTATTCAACAACCCACCCAACACTGCCTCTGCTCGGGTTCGATGGAGTCAGGGGTATTTGAGGTGGAATGTCAGAGTGGATGGAGGGGAACTAGGCTCTGCTTCGCATCAGGATCCGACTCAAGGTTTTTAAAAATGTGGAGGAGAATAACAAACATCTGGTGGACAGAGAAGACAAACACACAGAGGAGTCAAGTGATGGAAAAACTTTTGCTTCACACATCTGTGTGAGAGTGGGAGTGAATGAGAGGAGATGCTGGTGGACTAACAGGAATGAAGATTTATTTTGGGTTGTTGTTGTTTTCCAAGTCTGTTACATATAACACATCAAGTAGCCTTAAAGGCATTTTATCTTATAAAGATAAAAAATGAATATCCAGATCCTGCTGTTGATCCAAGCATGCATTAATCACATTCTGAACCTTTGCAGAAGAAAGGCTTTTAAATGAAATGATTGAGTGATGTTGCTCTATGTTACATCTGATGGACACATCATCCAAATCATCACCTCTAAACTGTCTCCTGTCTTGCACTAAATCCTGTTTACCACATAGAAAGAGATTTAAGGTTACACATTATAAAATACTGCAATAACTGAGCTTTAAGGTACAAATCCAATCATTTAGGTGGCGCAGTGGTTAGCATGCACGACCCATGTACAGATGAAGGCTGTATGTGGGCGACCCAGGTTTGCATCTGGCCTGTGGTCCTTTCCTGCATATCTCTCCCTCTCTCTCATACCCCTTTTCCTGTCAGCCTACTGTCGAAAAAACAAGCCACTAGTGCCGTAAAAAAAAAAAAAAAAAAATCCAATCATTTAATTCTTTTATGAGAAATGTTGGAGGGGATTTAAGTTACAGAATAGAATATAAAAATGTCACACAACATTTGCTTAATCTAAACATTAAACAGTGACCATAAAATAGTGGAAATACTAGCAGGGCCTTGAAAAACTGTAAAACTTCATCTTACGGGGGTTTCTAATGTCAAAGTGGTGTAAATCTTACCAACTTTGGTCCACTCCTATCAAGGTTAGTCAAATTGGATGGAGATAACCTTTTAATTGGATTTTTGTCTGGATCTTTAACTGGGTGATTCTAAAACACAGATGTGCTTTCATCTGGTTGTATGTTTGAGGTAACTGTCATGACGGATTGTCTCCGTCTATTGACCAATCAAATATTTCCAGTCCTTGATGAAGGCAGTTACCCCCACAGCATGATTCTGTCACCACCATGTTTAGCTCAGAGTGAAAAAAAAAGTTCAGTTTTGTTTTTTACCTGACCAAATAAGTATTTTGCACCTTTCAAATGATCAGATAGTTAAATAGGTTTGCAGACCAACACCTTCACATGGACAACAGCTGTGATTTGGCTTTTTCTGCTTGACTTTGAGTCCCTGCACTCTTAAGTGAGCGTTAACATAACTAAATTCTTCAGCTCTCCCTGTGTCAAAGTGATCTGATTAAGCTGTTATCACGAATCTAATTACTCACACATTAACCGAAAAAAACAAGACCCAGTGCACGTTCAATTTGTGGTAGGCCTGCTGGACGCATAGATACCTCAAGTACTGAGCTGTGTCTGTTATCTGACCTCATCTGTCTTTGATTCAGAGGGAAACCTGATCAATGAAGTCAATGCGTGAAAGAGTGGCCACTGTTCTCTTTAAACGATTACAGAGGTGTTTGACTTTCACTCCGACAGCGTGATAATGGCTTGTGACCTTATTTAAACCACCACTAATCCTTCCATTGCTTGAAAAAAAAAAAAAAAAAAAAAAAAAAAAAAAAAAAAAAAAAAAAAATATATATATATATATATATATATATATATATATATATATATATATATATATATATATATATATATATATATATATATATATATATATATATATATATATATATATAGTTTGTGGGAATCTGGACCAGTCATATTTTGCCCCCTTTTGCGTCACCCCCTTTGTGCCAGCTGCGTCAGGGAGGGCTGAATCTGCAGATGATCGAGGGAAGGAAGGAGCGCGCGACCACATGCATCATTCTCCTCGCGCTGCGCACGTGACGGCATTTCTACTGGGGTAAGTAAGGCTGCGTTTCTCATGAAGGCGGCCAGTGTGATGTGTAGACTGCTGACACAGGCGGCCATAGAGTCCCGGATGGGACCGCTTGTGGGTGGGGGTGGTGGGGGAACGACATGCCAACAAAGTGAGCGGAGTGATTCCTGGTCTGTAAAATGACACACGCTAATGTTTGGTGTGATGCAGCCGCTGTGCAGGTGTGGAACTCCTGCTGGAAGCTAGAAAAAGCCCA